AACAAAGAAACTGCTAATCCTCCCTCAGGTACTATATCCCCTCGCCCTGCAGCTCCTTCTTTAGGCTGCCAGGATCACCTTCTTTAGTCTGAGTCTGCTGTTATCAAATAAAAACATGACAACAAAACTATAATTCAGATAGAAAATCCAAATATGCATCTTGTTTGGGGAGGTGCACTTGGGGGGGAGGGGTGGCAGTTTTGTCTCACCAGTGGGGTAAATCCCAGGCATTAAAGGTGACTGACACAGACCCACTAAATATCCTTTATACCTTCTCCACATCCTCTTCATTTGAAAACAGTTATGGTTTTGAGAATCATTAGGACAATGACAGTATAAAAACAAAGGCACAGCAAGCATCTTTTTCTTTTTCCAAGCAGGTTTAACCACTAAGATTTGCTAGGGTACACCACCCCAGCGGCCCGCAGGGGGCGCGCGCAGCTATGGAAGCACTTCCTGGCTGGCTACCCAGAGGTGAGCCCAAATGGAGGGCATCAGAGTGGGCGCATCAGGGAGGGCAAAACGGAGGGCATCAGAGTGGGCGCATCAGGGAGGGCAGGAGTACTGAGGCCCGGAAGCTTAAACATAGAGAAAGACACACCTTGGGTTTTGCAATTGCTTTGCTGATGCACACAACTGTTCTATTGCTGACATAGGCCTCCCAAGTGCCAGTTGCAAAATGGCGATGGCATGACTGAGTTTCTAGTTACTCTCAGACTCCTGTGCTGTGTGGGTCATCCTCTAGGTGCTTCCAAGGGACACGGGGCTGCACCTACTGATGGCACAGTGAGCAATTGGCTGCAGGATTTGTCTTAGGAAGCCATGTTCCATGTGCTGACAGCAGAGTCACCACAAAACTGTCAGCCCTCCTCAAGGCCCTGCAGCAGGTCTACCCCATCTTAGTCAAACTATTTGCTAAGTTTTCACCACTTGCACACTCCTTAACCCCATGCTCTCCTTCCTCTCCTTATTGGGGATTATGCTTCTGAGTGGGGACTGCAAGAGAGAACTATTGTGATATGCCCTCCAGAGACAAGGGCTCTGAGAAAGGCCCACTAAGAGCCATCTATTGTTTGTCCCTAATATTGAGACAATACAGGTTTCTTGTTCTGCTGGTGTATGTGTGGAGGATCCAGTCAACTTCCCAGGTGACAACTAGACTCCTCAGTCTCCGCCTGACAACTGAATTGACCTGTGCCATAGCCAAGCTGGGGGGAGGCAGTCCCTGGTCTTTAGAGGGGTGCTCCCTATGTGCAGTTTTTCCTTCCCCCAGGCTGCACGGCTGAGGTGGTCATTGTGCCCCGCCAAGCCCTTTGTTCCTGTCACAGGCAGCGGGGAGCAGCTGCACTGTGAGACACCCACCACTCTGAGATGCTGGGTGCAAGGGTAACCAGTCCACTTGGCACCTTCTACCCCTGCTCTTGGGTCCAGGAACTGTTCCAGTTCTTGAGTCCCACAAGCCCAGTCCTGGCTTCTCTCCCAGTCATGCAGTCTTCGAGGATTGAGGAAGGGGGGTTCCCATGGCCCAGCATCACAGTTCTTTGCTTGGTTCCCGTGGCTCCGGGAAGAGAGGGGACAGTTGAAATGTCACCAGCTGGGATAAATATTAACAAAAAGCAAATGAAGTTGCGTGGGGGCCAGTTATCAATCAACCAGGCCGCAAGGCCACTTACAGCAAACACAGCCCAGGTTGGCCTGAGCAAGACTTTCTCATGGACACCTCCTGGCTGAACTCCCTCCCCCCAGGCTTAGGTCACTCAGGGGCAAATCCTGGACAAGAAAGGGACACAGTTCCTGGTCAGGGAGACCTCCCCTCCAGGTATAGCACACTAGAAGTGGCTTGGTACAGACTCCTCCCCAATCCCTGGGCCTGCAAGCCCGGAATCCTGGGTGGGAGGCATTTCTAAGGCTGGTCCTTGCAAGTTGTACTCTCTTCCTTCCCTGGCAGCTCCCCTATGTGGTCCAAGTCTTCTGTAATCTTTAATTGGAAACTAATCTCTCTCCTCTTAATAGGTGCCCACATCAGAAGTGTCAGAGGCGGGCCACCCACCCACCCACACAACCCAGCCAGCCCATCCCACATGGGACAACATGCAGAGGGAGACTGGCTGTACCGCACTTTAATGGGGGCAGCTGCAAGTATTACATTGAGGGACCATATATTGATTTTTTTAAAGGCAGTTAATTTGGTGAGAATTTCCTTCTGACTCACAGCTTCCATCAGTCCTTGTAATTTTGTAAAGAGAAGGCGCCACCCCCAGCATGCCAACATGTGCAGAGAGCGCTCGCCATCCACAACAGATTGTACAGCCACTGGGGTGCACAAAAGGGCACGGAAAAGCCACCCTCCTGCCACCGGAACTGACCTCCCAGCACCTGGTCTCACATGGAATAGGAATAAGGTTGAGGGGTCATGAAATAAAACAGCGAGTGCAACTAAAAGGGGCACTCCTGGTTTTGAGAGCTGGCTGCAGGAGCTCACCGCGCTGCCAAGGAGCGCTACAGTCTAGCTTAAGTCTCCTGTTGTCAGGGTCTACTAGAGATCATTTGGTGGGTTCAGGAAACTACATCACTGTTTTTTTCTAAGTGAAAAAATTAACGGGGTCACTTGTTTTTCACTGACTTAAAAATGGGTCGTGGCTTTTGCAGCGCAAAACGATGGTTACCGGTTCCCTCTGCATGCGCCCTCCTGCCGACTCCCCACCCCTTTAAGTTGAAGAAAAGAAATGCAAAGAGACCACCCTCTATCCCGGTCTTTAAGGGCGAAGTGCGAAGTGCGCTCAAGATTTGGCGCCAAATGTCACCTTTCCAGGTTTTTTCCCCCCAAGGAAAATGCCACGTACCTCAGGTCGAGCATGACTGGCGACAGGCTGCCGCGCGCCCCAGCAGGAGCCCCGGGACAACCTCCCGTGGACAGGCAGCCGTCGGAACTCGCGCTGCTTCGGCCCTGCGGCCCACTCCTAAAGGTCAGAGGGTGTCCGTGCAAAGCCGGGTAGTAGGACAGGAGGCCTGGAGGTCGTTTCTGAACAGAACCTGCCAGTATATCCTTCCAGGGGGCGACAAGAGGCAGTGAGGTAGGAAGTCACTGGAGCCCTTAATTAGCGCCTTCACTGGGTGCAGGATGGGAAAATGGCTTGGGGGGGCGCTGGGGGGGGGGGGCTTGTGCACCCTATCTCTCAATATGTCGCCTGCGCCGGCATTGCTTGGTAAAAGACACTGAAGCCCAGGCTTGAAGCCGGTGTGGGAATGTGCAAAAGCATGACTACCTTAAGCGCAGGCAGAGGCAGAGAGTCGGGGAGTTTTGTCTTTCCCCTCAGGAACTACAGCTGCCCCGTCAGTCCGCAGGGGCCGGGGGGATCGCGGAGGCTGACACGGTGGTTGCACACAGGGCTAAGGAGAAGCATCGCCGGAGCCCGGAGCGCAGCCCGGCCACCTCTCCCTGCCCCAGCCTCGCCCGCGTCCGGAGCGCAGTCTGCGGGAGTCTGCAAGGGGACTTTGCTTGGAGCCAACAAATGCCGGGCTCGGCTGGAAACCCGCGCGGAGCAGAGGACCAGCTAGCGCGGCGGCGCTCGGGCGGGGAGGCCACGGGCACCCAGACCCAAGCAAGGCAGGAGTCGCAGGCTGGCTGGCACGCCGGCACCTGCCTCCTTCCAGCTTCTTATTGGCCCGCACGAGATGGGGGGAGGGGGCTGTGGCCTCTTGCTTTGATTTTAGACTGTGAAACGGCTCAGTGCCCCCGGCTCTGCGCGGATTGACTGTCTCTCGATCTCCAGGGACGAATTAATGGAGAACGATCAGTTAATTAACAAACCCTCATTCTGGCTTTTACCTTTCTCTTCGCCAGGACTCAGACCAGGGCCCTGGGCTGAAATTGGGGGTGGGGGAGCAGCGCCAACTTGGACCCAAGAGTAAATCAACTCAGTCCGGGTCTCCCCAAACCGAGTTAGCCTCGGCTGTCCTTGCTCTACCTCCCCGCGCGTTCCCCGCCCTCCGGGTTCGCCGAACCAGCTCGACATACTCCGTGTGATGGCGCGATTTAGATTGGTCTCAGCTGTCCCCGCGCCAGCCCGCGGGCCTGAGCCTCTCCCGCATCTTGGAAGAGGGGCGCTGGGGGAGCGAGGCGCTGCCTCTGCAGAGACCTTTCCTCTCAACCTACAAGCACTGGGTCTTAGGGTTTCTGCTCTCGTAGACCTGGGGTCATTTCCATACTCCCACCCCCTGCAAGGGGATGCAGCCGAAAAATCAAGCAGAGGAATAAAACGAATTGCTGAGTCCTAAGCTAGTCGGCCGCCAAGGGTGTCCGCGGGCTTGCTGGAAGCTCCCTTGTTGCTCCGCGGCTCCCCCCCCGGACCTGGGGACAGTGTGCCCCCCTCTCCTTTCCATAGCTAGCTGCGCGCGCAAAGTGTGTGCTAACCTTTACGCACCGCCCGCACCACACGCCCAGCGCCCCGCGACTTCGGAACCTTCTTGGGGAACTCTCAGAGAGCATCTTCCCCCTCCCGACCCGGCCGATTGGAGTTGGAGGGGGTCACCGTTGGGCGTTCCGCCGAACACCGGCGCGCAGCTCCCGCAGGCTGCAGCCCAGCGGCGGAGTATGCGCCAGGGGTGCTGCCTGGCGACACCTGCGCGCGGTTCCACGTACACATCGCTTTCCTTTCTCCAAACCCACAGTGCCCGACCGAGAAGAGACGCGCAGATCTCGTCCGGCTAGGTGCGAGACTCTCTCTCAGCCTCCTGCCGTGCGAGCGCTCACCGCTGTCCCCAAGCGCAAAACCCCCCGGCCTGTACTGAGACCGCGCCGTTCAGTCCCCGGAGCCTCCCAAAGCCCAGTACACGAGTCCGGCGTCTGCCCCGGAGCCCTGTGTTGGCTCTTCCCGGCCCGGAGACCTCCCACCGGGAGAAGATGAACCGTGCCCAGCCCTTCTCCTTCCCCCCCTTGGCCGGCCCCTCCGGCTTCCCGATCCCTCACCTCCCTTCGCGCCGCTCCCTGGCCCGCTCACCTGCTAGGCGGAGCGCAGACATGCGCTGGAACTCCGGCTCCTGCAGCCACTTCCACATCCTCCGGAAGGTCTCCCGGCCGGACTTGAGTTTGCTCCAGGGTTTGGGGTTACGCAGTAGGTCCGACAGGGTCCCTTGGGAGCGGCAGAGCACCCTCTGCGCGAAGATGGCCTGTGGGATGCTGTAGCGCTTGAGCTCGGTGGTGATACGCTGCGCCACCTCTTTGGTATTGATCTCTTCCATCTGCCCTGAATTACTTCCATTGCTAACCTGCGCGCCCGTCACCGAAGGGTTGGGTTCCCTGGCCGTCCCCAGAAGTTGCCCGTGGCCCTGGGCGTTCAGGTGCGCGTGGGGGTGGTGCGGGGGAAGGCCGTTGATGGGCACCATGCCGGCCGACGTGGGCGTGAGGTGCTGCTCCCCGTGCCGGCCGAGCATGGCCGGGTGGTGGGCTTCGAAGCCATTGGGGGTGAGCATCTTGTCGGCGGGCATGGCGGCGCCGGGGTGGGCATAGTGGGGGAGCCCTTGCTGGGAGTTGTGGATGCCCCCCAGCCCGGAGCCGGACAGGGGCGAGAGGCTCTGGCCCATGCCGGCCACGTCCTTGTGGTAGGGGGTATAGAGGTTATTCATGGACGCCAGTCCGCGCTCGTCCCGCATGAGCGTGAAGCTGCCGCTCACGTTGCCCGCCAGGCGCTGGTGGTGGTGCGGGTGGTGGTGGTGGTGGTGGTGATGGTGGTGGTGCGGGAACTTGTCCGACACGGTGGAGATGGGCGGCAGCGGCTGCAGGGGCGTCAGGGTGGTGTAGGTGGTGGGCATGCTCATCCCCGGCGGGGTCTCGCAGGCCATGGTCATGGTGGGGTGCAGGGGCCCGGCCAGGCTGTGCTCGGGCGCGCGGTGGTGGTGGTGGTAGTCGCCCGCGCCGGCGCCGCCGTCCAGCAGGGCGGCCATGCCCATGGAGCGCGGGTGCGCGGGGGGCAGGTGGGCGCCGCGGTGCGCCGCGGAGCTCCGCGCGTGGGGGCTGCCGCCCAGCAGGTCAGCGGGCGCGGGCACCGGCTCGTGGCTCACCCCGTGCAGCTCGCCGAGCGCCTCCATGCTCAGCTGCGCGTTCATCCTGGTGCGGGCGCGCGGGCGGCGGGCCCCACATGGGGGTGTCCGGGCGGCCGCGGCGAGGGGCGCGCGGGGTCCGGGCTCGCCCTCGGCCCGCGCGCGGCGCCCGCTGCCTGGCTCGCTGCGCTGGCGGCGGGGCTCTGGCGCGCTCTGGGCGCGCGTCTCCGTCCCTCCCGCCGCGTCCTCGGCGTTCTCTTTTTTTTAAATATTAATTTCCAAAAAGGACCCGCGCCGTTGGGCGAGCGCGGCGCCCCCAGCCCGCCCACCCGCCCCCGGCCCCCGCGCGCCCGTCTGCTGCTTAGAAGAGCGAGGCCCCCGGCTCCCCCGACGCGGCGCGCGCACCTCCCGCGGCCGCCGCTCGCCCGCGCCGCGGGCCGCCTCGCGCCATGGCGGGGTCGCTGGTGCCGACTCTGTGGCCGCCGCCGTGGCCGCCGCTGCCGCCGCCGCTGCCGCCGCCGCCGCCGCCGCCGCCGCGGCCCGCCCCGCCCCCACGCCCGCTGGCGGCAGTGCGCAGGCGCGCGGCCCGGCCCCGCCCCCTCGCCCCCCGCGCGCGCGACCCGTGACGTCCGCGTACAAATGAAGGCGGGGGGCCCGCGGCGGGCCGGCGGCGCCGGGCGGCCGGGGAGTGGCGCGCACGTGCGGAGCCCCGGCGGGGCGCGGGGAGCGGGGCTGGGGCGCCCGTCGGGGCCCCGGCGCGGGTGGGCGCTGCTTCCTCAGCGCCCCCGTCGGCCGCGCTTGCTGGGCTCCCCGCGCGTTGGGGCGCTGCGCCCGGGGAGCCGGGGCGCTCCTCGTTCTGCGCACCCCGCCCTCCGGGCTCCCTCCGCGGGGCCGCCGGGGGTCTGCGCTCCCCGGGCCCTCAGCTGCCGGGGGTGGCTGTGCCACAGGCCAGGGAGCCGGTGTCGTAAAGGCCCCGGGCGGGCTGGTGGCCGCGGCCCGGCCCCGGCTGTCCCCACCGACGTGCCGCCTCCTCCCCTCGGGGAGTTGGGGTGCGCAGCGCGGGAGCCCCAGCCTGTTCATTCCTCGCCGCCCCTGGCCGTTTGGGGTTTTCTCCGGCTCAGGTGCAGTTGGTACATAAGGCGGTGCGCTGCGGCGTCGACGGCGCAGTCAGACAAACACACAGACAGACAGACACACGCACGCACGCAGACTCGGATAGGTTCCCAAGTTAACTTGGAGGTGCTGGTGGGGCCGTCGAGGCTCCGGTGTTGCTGCGCCTGCCCCCTGGCCCTCCAGGTAGATCACCCAGAGGCCGCTGCTTGCAGGAAGGAATGGCGCCCTCGGGGTACACCGGGAGCGCTGTTTCCGCGGGACCCCGAGGGACGCTTTCCTCCCGGCGTCCCCGCGAGGAGCCTCCAGATTTGAAAAATCAATTCAGCCGAGGGTATAATTGTCCGATTCCCACAGTCGCGCTCCACTCCAGAATCCAACCTGGTCCTGGGGCCTGTTGGGGACGCGTGGGGAGGCGATCGGTGTGGGACGGACGTCAGACCGCCACATGCGGAGGCTTTCATTTACAAAAGAATGAAAGAAAGAAAAAATCCGTAACAAAAGACAGAGCCGTGTTGCTTAGGTGCTTTCATCCCTCAGAGAAAGGACAGATGTGCCCATTGTCCACCCCTTGGCAGTTACGACCGGGTCAGCGCAGATCTTCAGCCCCAGGCGAGCCGTGGTCACAATGGGGAACAGCGTCTCGGGGTCTGGGTATCAGGGCTGGGATATGGAAAAAAAATGTGTGTGTCCTGGGATGGACCAAACTCAAGACTGTAAGTTCCTTTGCTGGGGCATGGGGCAGAAGCCCACCGCTCCTGTCTGCTGGAAATGTTCCTAGACCCTAGGGGAGGTCAGGGTAGGGGTGATGGCAGTAGGCTGGCAAAAGCTTGCCAGCCAGCACCCTCCAATGCTTGGGGTGAACATCTCGCTAGCCAAGGCTGGAGTAGGCCCATCTCTTTCCCCAGGTCTCTGCCACCACCAGACAAACTCAAGGCCTGTGGGTACAGTCAACTCCACTTCCTTGAAAACGGTCATGTTCTGGGGGCTGATTAATCTGGAGACATTCCTAATCTTTCCCAAACAATGCCTATGGAGGTTGTGAAAATGGGAGTCCGTCTACAGGTACTTAACATTTACTTGCACGATGTACATTTAGAAATTTAAAGCCTCCAGAGAGGAAAAGTTCTTTGGGGTAAATACAATGTCATAAAGGAACTCTGAAAACAAAATTACTCTATCAAACACATCTGTGTCTATTTATACACATAGGCATAAAATATATTCTCTGCATTGTGGATCACAATATGTTGGTGGGAAGCCGCATCCTTGACTCCTTGTTGTTTCTATTCTCTTTTCATAGAGTATGTGTCACGTGTATGAGACCAAACAATGGGTTAAAGTTGTTGCAAGCAGTCTTTCAGCTAAACTATTGTCTCCCCCATACTTTTCCCTTTGAAATGATTGATTTGCCCTTATGACAACTCTCTTCCCAAAAGGCAGTTTGTTAAAAGAGAGAAAGAAGTAAATACTACCAAGTGTACAAATTGTTCATGGTTTTCTCTTTGTGTGACTAATTAGGGACTTGATCCTAGAAACACTGGATGAGCCCCTGCAGGTTACCTGAAGAGGGCTGGGATCTGGGGAGCTCAATACCTCCTTCTTTCTCCACCTCCCCCCCCCCTTTTATGAAAGGGGGATCTGGCTCAGTGTTGGTCTCTAAAGGAAGACCCAAATGAAAGATTTGGATGAATGTTGTATATGTAGGCTAATGAGTGTGCAGGTCTTGCTTTAGTTTGCAAACCTCCCTAATCTTTCTTGGCTATTCACACCTTTAAATCTTTGTTTTTCTTCTTATTTAAGCTCTTGGAAAATTTTTCTATTACTGAGGATGTATGCTGGGTAGGAAGAATGGTCTTAGGCCTAGTTAAGATGAATGCACACATGTGTCTCTGTGCATGTTTGTGTGTGTGTGTGTGTGTGTGAGAGAGAGAGAGGGGGGGGGGAGAGAGAGAGAGAGAGAGAGAGAGAGAGAGAGAGAGAGAGAGAGAGAGAGAGAGAGACTAGATGGGTTGCCAAGTGCAAGTAGGGATTTCCTTTTTTTTTTTGGTTTGTTTTTGTCTCTCTTCTCCCTTGCCCCTTCTAGTCACCCAGGCCAGCACAATGCCTGTCACCCATCAGGTGCACTGTAGGGGATGAATCAATTAGAGCTCAAGGAGAGGTCTCTTGAAACTGCTTGGTTGGTCAGTATTTGTGATTACAGGATGCTGCACAATTCTTTATAACAGGAAGTTTGAGGGGAGTGCTTAATGTCAGCTGCTTAGATTTTGAGTGAGTGGCTGCAGGTAATTTGGTATAAAAAAAGTGAAAAAAGTGTCAATCACCACCACAAAATAAATTCATGTATATATTTAAGAAAACGGGAAACAAGATTAACAAGTAGATGCTTGCTAATGGCAATGTTTTTAGTGTGGAAACAAGATTCAGGCTGCTTATTTTGTAAATGTCGGGGTGACAACAGTGGTGGGAGGGCAAGTTGTCAGGTGATCCCACTAGGCTCAGAGAGAAAAGGAGACTAGACCATTGCTCCAAATACTGGGCACACAAGGTCTGAGAATTTTTCATTAATCTTAGTACCTGCTTTGGTTTTCTTTGTGAGGTAACATACACCACAGTCTCCATTTTCAAAACCCTTCCAAGAATGTTTCTAGCCTCTCTGAGCCATCACCTATTTACTTCCCATTTATTGATACATCAACAGTAAGCCTTGTTGGTATCAGGGCACACCCTCTCAGCCCCCACAAGACTCCAAGAGGAGACTTGGCTAGAGTTTCAGAAGATAACTCACTAGTATTTCTGATAACTGTAGCAAGTCTACAATTAAACTCCAGGTGAAGGAACGTTTCTTTGGTGTGTGGTAACAGTGGGCGCTTGATAAGGGGGTGGGGAGGGGTCAGTAAAAGATTTGATTCTAGGTGCTTACTGCCAAGCTCTTCTGTCTTCCTCCCATCTCGGCAGAAATTTTATTTAGAAACTTGCACTTGACTTAGAATAGAACATCAAGAAATGGTTAGCTGGTGATTCACTATCGAAAATCATTTATTAAAAAAATAGTCAATGACTTTGCTTTACTTTCTGGGGGCCAAGGAAGTGATAAACAATTATTCTAGCCCCATTTATCAATCTTTGATCTACTTAGCATATAGTTTTTATTCATCTGTTCAGTTAACCTTTTTTCCTCTTTTTTCCTTCTTAACCTCAATTACAGTGTTTGCCCATGACAGTACTTTTTTCTTTGTATTTTTGTATTCTCCTTTGTTCAACCTTCTACCAGTCTCCTCCAAATCTGAAAGAGTAAGATGTTCTGCTAAAGGGCTCTTGACAGCTTGTGCCAACCCTAGCTGACTCTGGATTCTAGGAGCTGAGGAGGGTGCTGGACAGCGGTCCTAGAACATCGGATTCCACTGCCAGCATTTCTGTTTACTTCCAATCTTGGCCCATCAGATAAAACAAGGAACAGCTTCTCCTGGGCTTAAATCTGTCTGCCGTCCCCCACTTTGGGGAGAGCTTTTTAAGGCCTGAGGCGCAGACAGTTGGCGGGAGAGGGGTTGCCTGGGACTACTGGTGGGAAGCCAAGATTCCGCGGTGACGCTCTGGAGGAAGGACTTGAAGCTGGCCACCACCAGCTCATTCCGATTCCGGGGGGAATTAATCTCTCATCATCCCTCAGTGCATTTTCTTTCTTGGTTTTATCTTTATATGAAGATATGATCTTATCTGTAGATGAAGATAAGTTGACAAATATATTACTATGGAGACCAGTCCCGGCCTCGCGGGGCAACGAGTTTCCCAGATTGGGGCCAGTTTCTCCCATGTGGGGCTGCAAGCCCGGTCGTCAGTGGCGCGCGGTGGTGGTGAGTGCCAGGGCTAGTGGCTGGGGGGGAAGCGCCAAGGCGAGGGGCCCTCGGACTGGTGCATTTCAGAGTGACCCAAACTGAGGAAAACTCAGGGCAAAGAGGGCGGGCAGAGGGCAAAGTCGGCTCCAGGTGCATCATCCTCCGGTTCTGAGGACACCGACCTGCCGAAATCAAGGGTCACGG